CTGGTTCTGTGGGTGTGGCTTGGTGGGCGTGGCAGGGGAAGATTACTGCAAAGTCCCCATTCCCTCCAGATCAGCTGGGACTCAGGAGGCAGAGAATAGATGGAAGCGGGACCAGTCAGAGGTGGTATTTACTGGTTCTCTGAACTACTCAAAATTTCCACTACCGGTTCTTCAGAACTGGTCAGAACCTGCTGAATGCCACCTCTGGAGTTCTCTCAGATGGGCTTCAGCAAGAGTCCAAAACTTCAGAACCTCTGGTCCTGGTGACCAACCCAGATTGGATCCTGAAACAAACTAAACTTAGATTCAGGACAAGGAATATCTGTGAAGTAATGGTGTCCACTTCACTTTAGGAAATCTACTTCCCAGCTCCTCTCTCTCTCCTCCCTCAGCTGGAGACAGCAGTATTTCCCAGAGAGCTGAAACCTACTTCTCCTATTTCCAACTCCACTTGATATGCCAATGTCACTTTCCCCAACATAGCATCTTCCAGAAGCTTTATAACTTGCCAACTCCTCAGCCAGCCGTTGGGCGCACAAACTGAGAAAGTGGGAAGCTGCAACACCACCAACCCCAACTGAAAAGAGCCAAGTCTGGGAAAACTGCTCCAACTGCTTTCGCTTTAAGAAAGAGAAAATGTCCTCTCTCTGCATTTTTGTATGGAGGGAATGTTGATTTAATAGAAGGCAAACCAGTCCCAGAACAGGGACTCATGCAGGGAAGAACCATATAGATTTTCCTGCCTGAGGCCCTTTCAGGAAGGCGGGACAATGTATTTGAAGTTGCAATCCATGTGAGTTGTAGTCCACCTTACTCAGAAAGTGCCATGCAGGGGAAGAGAGATAGAACAGGCCAGGAATGACTGCTGTGATGGAATGGCGGAGGACCCCAGGCCAATTTGCAAAGTTTCTTTGATTGTTGCTGTTGCTCCTTCTCAAGGCTGCTCCTTTTTTCCTCCTGCCTTTCTCGGGGGGGGGGGGGTGGCAGGAAGAGGGACAAGCAGCAGCAGCAGCATTTCCAGAACCCAACTGACTAGAGAAAAAAGGACACCCCCCCCCCCCAACAACGGGCAACTACATTACAGCAATTGGGGAGAGAGCAGAGATCTGTGGATGGTGACAGGCTACGGTGGAACTTCCGGTCACAACCGTAATCCTTTCCAGGACTTCGGTCTCATCCCGATATGGTTGTGACTGAAAGCAAGACTGTGCATGCACATACAAAACAAAATTGCATAGAAGGGGAAATCGCCGCAACAGGAAAAATTGTTGCGGCTGCGTTTGATCGCTGCTCAAGTATTTGTTTGTGACCAGATGCAAAAAAATTTGCAAAATGTTTGGTCAGCACCTGATTTGGTCATGGTCAGAAGTGTTCGTGACCTGAGGTTTTACTGTATTATCTTATTCAAGGATCCCCTCCCAAAAGGAATCTGGAATCAGACTAAATGCGCAGCATTAAACAAGGCTTTTGGATTTAAGGTAGCCAAAATGTTTTCTTCCACTTCCAGGCCCAGCAGCCCGATTCCTATCGGCCAATCCATAATCTTACCTTAATACAGGTAGTCCTCGATTTACAACCATTCATTTAGTGACTGTTCAAAGTTACACCACTTTAAAAAGTGACTTATGACGTAAGTTTTCCACACTTCCGACCACTGCAGCATCTCCATGTCACGTCATTAAAATTGGGATGCTTGGTGACGGACTCCTATATTATGATGGTGGCTGTTTCCTGAAATTGTGTGATCACCTTTTGCGACCTTCTGACAAGCAAAGTCAATGGGGAAGCCAGATTCACTTAACAACCAGGTTACTAACTTAACAACTGCAATGATTCACTTAACAACTGTGAAAAGGAAGGTCGTAAAATGAGGCAAAACTCACTTCACAACTGTTTTGCTTAGCATTGGAAACTTTGGGCTTAATTGCGGTCGTAAGTCGAGGACTATAATGTGCAATATGAACTCACCTATCCTATAATTTGTAAAATAGTTATGGCTTAGCATGCAATATAACTCCAGTCAATCATGGCTCATTCACTAAACCATGGCTTAGGGTGATGTGAGAGCAGAGGAAGAAGATGAGGGTTCTGCCTTCACTGCAGTTAAATATCCTTCATGCACTCAAGACTCTACTTTCACTAAGGAAGTGGGAGGCAGTGGGTTCACGCCTTTGCTACCCAAAGCATAAAATATGTGCTTAACCAGGCATTTTTTCTCTCCAAATGAAGTCCAAATGAGGACCTTAATAACCTACAGTTATTGCGTGCATATAATTTAGTTGTTCTTGAGCACATCCTCTGTGGTGTTTGGGGCAGTGGTTTTATATCATGAGACAGCCAACGATGTTTTAAGTTTCCAACACGATTATGCAGCTGTCCTTCCTTCACCAAGAAAGGTGCATTGTTTCACTTGATTTTTGTTGTAATTGGCTCGTCATGTATACAGGTAGCCCTTGATTTATGATGATAATTGACCCCAATATTTATGTTACTAAGTCAGAAATTCGTTAAATGAGTTTTGCCCCATTTTATGACTTTTCTTAACAGTTAAGTGAATCACTGCAGTTCACTTAAGTGAACTTGGCTTCCCCATTGACTTGGCTTGTCAGAAGGTCGCAAAAAGGGATCACATGACCCCAGGACACTGCAACCATCATAAAGATGAGTCAGTTGTCAAGCATCCGGATGTAAATCACGTGACCATGGAGATGCTGCTGCAATGGTCATAAGTATGAAAAATTGGCCATAAGTCACTTTTTTCAGTGCCGTTGTAACTTTGGTCACTAAATAAACTGTTGTAAGTCGAGGACTGCCTGTATTTCTATTAATTAGAATACCAATCTACTGTCCAACTCTGATGTAAGCACGGATATTAGCACTGGAACCCCATAATTCCTCGTGTATAGGAAAGCCATAAATACTTAAAATATATTCACAGAATGGTTTTGCTAGCTGTAGCAACACTTCTTGAGCTGCCTTCTTGTGGCAAGCTGGTTCTTTAACAGATTAACAGAGTTGGAAAGAACCTTACAGGTCATCAAGTTCACCCCCCCTCTCCCACCCCGCTCAAGCAGGTTCTACACCATCTCTGACAGGTGGCAGTTCAATCTCTTCGTGAAAGTCTCAAGTGATGAAGCCCCCAGAACCTCCGAAAGCAACTTCTGTTCCATTGGTTGATTGTTCTCACTGTCAGAAAGTTCCTCCTTATTTCTAGATTGAATCTCTCCTTGGTCAGTTTCCATTCATTATTCCTTGTCTGGCCTTCAGATACTTTGGAAAATAGGTTGACCCCTTCCTCTCTGTGGCAGCTCCTCAAATATTGGAACACTGCTATCATGTCTCCCCTGGTCCTTCTCTTCATAAAATAAATAACTTGCAATATCAATAGAATAGTGCTGTATCTGTCAGTCCCCAATAGTGCTTTTCCTGGTTTCTACAGCATGACTGCCGGGGCTTGTATCCCAGCTGAGGAGATCTGTGCAAACACCCTGAATGTGAGGAAGTGCACTTCACTGCCTTGCCAAAACCCTTCCCCCATCCTCGCTTGCTTTCTGAGATGCATCTTCCCACTTTAGCTGCTTCCTCCCAGTGTGGTTTGAATAGCAACAGCTGCTACTGCAAAGAACAGTGCAACTCTTGTCTATCGGCCATCGATTTTAACAAGTGGTCTTGCTAAAGAGGAACCAACTTCTGCGATTACCCCACGCCAGCCCTTTAATGATCCACTTTACAGACAATCCTCGACTTACTTCACTTAGTGACCGATCAAAGTTACAACAGCACTGAAAAAAGTGACTTAGGACCAGGGGTTTTTCCCCACCCTTACGACCTTGCAGTAACCCCGTGGTCATGTGATCAAAATTCAGACGCTTGACAACCGACTCATATACTATAATGGTTGCTGTTTCCTGGGATCATGCGATCACCTTTTGCGACCTTCTGACAAGCAAAGTCAATGGGGAAGCCAGATTCATTTAACAACAGTGTCACTAACTTAACAGCTGCAGTGATTCCGTTAACGACTGCGACAAGAATGGTTGTAAAATGGGGAAAACTCGCTTAACAACTGTCTCACTTAGCTAGCAACAGAAATGTTGGGCTCGACTATGGTCGTAAGTAGAGGACTGCCTGCATTTTCTATGGAGGCAGAGCTCGACCTGAATATGAGCCTGGTCCAGTGGCAACCAAGAATCCCTCAGGACTTAGGAAAAAAAAGCCCATAATAAGGCCATAGTGACTTCCGCCCTTTGAGGGGTAGATTTAGAAGCCAGTGAATGACAGGGAGAAAATATTAAGCAGCCTATTGTCTCTTCAGGTGTTCTTCCCCATCTAAAGAAACGACTTGTTGAATTTCTGTTCAGTAGGTACCTATTAAGGATGCAGCAACACAATTGCCTCTTGGTAGGAAACCATAATTCAGTCCTAAAACACAAAGAAAAACCGCCCTTGGTGGTTTTTTCCCCTCACGCACATTAACCATCCCAAAGAAACTTTCCAAGCGGACCTGAGCCCCACCCTCGTTTTTTTTTTCCAAACCCCCTTTCCCTGTTTCTTGGTTGTCTTATCCAAGTTCGTGGGCGAAGTTGAACCCTTTGGAGACGTTGGGTGGGGGAAGCTAGCAAGAAGACCACGAAAGGTGGAGGCGGATATTACGATCCCCTCCCCAGCTTCTTCTCCAAGACAATTTGGGGAAGGGGGGGGGGAAGCGTGTTTATGCCTCTCAGCCTTATTTGATCGCCTTGCCCGCGATGACAGGCGCGAAGATCCCCCCTCCCCCCCTCCATTCCCCCTGCCCTCTCTTGTGCCCCCTGGCGCCCAATCGGGGCAAGCTCACACCTTGCCGGAGACGTCGTAACTCTTGGCGAGCGACAAAGGCTTCACCACCGGCGTAAGCGCGCCGGGGGTTCCGTTGCGGGCCGGAGGGGCGCCCTCATTGCCTGCTCCGTTGCTGGTCATGGTGGCTCCCGCGCAGGGAGAAGGAACTGCCCGGGGATCTCCGAGAGCTCCGGCCACGCTGCTTCTCTGGCCCACCTCTCCTGCCCACGCGCGGAACCGCCCCTTTCTCAGGAAGGGAGAGAGCGCTCGAGCCAGCCGCCAGCGTCGGACCGAAGTGGGGACCCGGAGCTGGGCGAGCACTTTCGCCTGCTTGGGCGTTGGTGGCCTCGGACTTGACTTCTCATCAGCACTTGTTGTTGTTGTTGTTGTGTCTTTACGATCGTACATTTGGTTGAAGACAAATTAAGTGGCTTGGGTGGTAGATGAATGATAGCCAGACAGCTGGTTTGCAAATCCGGCTCGGAAAAGAATTGTTTTTCCTTTGGATGAGGACGTAGCTGCAGGACAGCCTGCCTTGTGCTTATTTATTTATTTTATTTATTTCGTCATGCATGAATTAGATAGCGGATATAGGTATAAACATGATTATGAATGCATGAAATGGATACGAATGCAAGGGATTAAAATGAAAAGGCTTGCAAACGTGCCTCTTTCTCTTTCCGTGCTAACCGCTCTTCAGGTCAGGTCAGCCCTATTTTTCTGCCGCGCATTTAGGAACGCGGTCTGACTGCTCTGATCCCTGGACGCAGTTCTCCGGAGCCCTTCTTGATAGGGCAGCAGGAGAATCTGGTTCTTTCCAAGTGGGCTTTTCTACAGCAGATCTCCAAACAGAGCAAGGGTTTCTGGCTTTGGCAAAGCGATCAGCCAGAGATCCGGTTTTTTAAAAAAGAGATCCGCCTGAGAGAGGGATCAGTTGAACGGAGAGGGTGAGATGGAGGGGCTGCATGGTCCTGGCACTCCTATTCAGTGATCTACTTCTAAAATGGGTTTGATGCTCTTCTGGATTATAAATTAGTTTATATCATTTTAGGGCTGGGCATCTTTAATCATGGGAGCAGGACTCAACTTTGGCTTGATATAGATAGAAAAATAATTAGTATATACCAACAAATTAATCAGGGAAACAAAAAACTGGGCTTCAAAACGTATTGACATTTTGGGGCAAATTGCAGTGGTGAAAATAGAAATCCTTGCAAGGCTCAATTTTCTATTTCAAAGTCTCCCAGTAAGTCAAGCAGAAATACTAGAAAGATTCCTATTTTATTTTAGCAGAAGTGAAACAAGCAGGCATGGGTGATACAGTAAATGAGGAAGTATTTTCTGTTGCTCAGCCAAGTAGCAGTGCCCTCCAGGAGCAAAATGAGAATGGAAGCCAGTTTGATCTAGTCTAGTGGTTAAATTTCTGGTCTAAAAACTAGGAGACCATGAGTTCTAGTCCTACCTTAGGCATGAAGCCAAGTGTATGGTCTTGGGCCAGTCACTCTCTCTCATCCCAATCCACCGTGTTGTGAGAAAAATAAGAGAAGGAAGAAGTATTATATATGTCTATTATCTTGAATTACTTACAAGGTAATAAAGATGGGATAAAAATCTAAATCTAATTAACTAAATGGGACCATATAGCAACTTGGAATAGTTCCCTTTTTAAGGAATCTCACATGCTTTTTGGAAAAATGAAGTTCACATTTTTAGCAGTGGAATTCAAACACACACACACACACACACACACAAAATCATAATCACATAGTCCTTTGAATTACATCCCATACTCAGCAAAGTTATGAAATGTCTTGGAATTTCCAAAACCATAAATCTCTTCTTGAGATGGAATGTGTTGAATAATTCCCACACTAGATGAATTTACATATTTGTGAAACTAGCCAGCATTTAAAGTACAAGTCTTCAAAAAAGATGTTGTTTTTCTTTAGTTTGACCTCTGGCCTCTATAGATAAATGAATTCTTTAATTACATATGTTTTGGAAATAAAACAATATATTGAGAAAGACTAGATCAGATGCCACAAATATTCTCAGATTTCACCCAATCTCCCCTAATCTGAGAAAATCCAGTGATTAAATACAATGAAAGGAACAAAAAAGTATTTGTTTATTTTGGAACTGCCAGAAATTCTTTCATTTGCTCAGTGATAAAAGATTATCTTATTTCAATAATCTCATTATCTAACCTATTATAAATTAGGTTCTTTGCCTTAATATAATCTTGCTCATGGGACTTACAAAGTATAACTTCCTTAGCTTCTATTGACCCCCCCCCCCTTTTAGATACTGAAAGAACCCCCAAATGCTTAGTCACTGAAACCAGCTGTTCATCTCTGAACAGAATCAGATCTTTCTCATATGTTAAACCAAGTAGGTATTTGGTGGCTGGAAAACACACTTAATATTGGGAGGAAAGCTGAGAAACACAATATTTTTAGTGGGCTTCTTGGTTTTGGAAAGAGCTTTTAAACAGGAGCTTTGTTTTTTAAGCTCCAGTGAGACTATTTTAATATGAGATTTGCATTTTCCAAATGACAAGGAAACATGCCACTGTTCTGATCCAAGGGATCAGAAAGTTACAAAGGCACTGAAAAAAGTGATTTATCACCATTGTAGCCTCCCCATGTCACGTGATCAAAATTCAGACGCTTGGCAACTGACTCATATTTATGATGGTTGCAGTCTCTTGGGGTCATGCGATCATCTTTTGTGACCTTCTGACAAAATCAATAGGAAAGCCAGATTCACTTAACAACCGTGTTACTAAGTTAACAACTGCAGTGATTCACTTAACTGTGGCAAGAACTGTTGTAAAATTGGCAAAACTCACTTAGCAACATAAATTTTGGCCTCAATTGTTGTTGTAAATTGAGGATTAGCTGTACTTTATTTTCAGCCCCATGAGCCTAACATGAACAGATTTATATGGTACAATTTTAGAAAAGCATAAAACTACTTATCAGTTACGTTCATGACTGATCCTGACTATAGATAACTTCCTGAGGTTTGATGGGTGCTCAGTACCACAAAACCATTGGGATTCATCTAAATGAAATCCCAAATTACCTTCCCAGATATTTTCACAATATTTTGTGTTAGTGCGAGTGTTATATAACAATAAGATACCTTTGCTGTTAAATTTTGATTACATTTTACCTCAAATATTGTTAATGGTTTTAAAATTAATGGGGCCTGGCTGTTTTACTTATTTGAAACCAGTTGGTCCTTTTGGTTAGTTCTATTGTAAAATATATTTATTAATTATCAGAATTTCATTGATCTTCTGGTTCTGTAAAATCTGCCTGTTGTTTGCACTGGATACGTTTGTTCTTGTGATCAAGGAAAAAATGTTGAAAGAATAGGAAAAGAAGAGAGAAGCTGGGAGCCAAAAATTGTTTCTATCATTTGAAATAGTAGGCATCTGTTTCTTAGTGGTTCAGCACCAAACAAGGAATAAGACAAGGATGTGTAATGATCCTTTGATTATTAAATCCATGTTGGACATGGACAGTTAAGAACTTTGATAAATGAATGGATAGGTGGGTGAGTGAGTGAGTGTTGTATGTATGTAGGTATGTATGTATGTATGTGGGTGGATGGATGGATGGATGGATGGATGAATGGATAGATAGATGGATGGATAGATGGAAGGATGGATCGATGTATAAGAAATGTTTTTGGATTAGAAATGTATTGATTGGTGATTCACTCCCTCTGGAGTCCTGTAATATATGTAAAGTTGCCTATGAAAACAGTTCAGAAGCTATAACTAGTATGGACTGCAAACACCTGGCTACTAGGGCAATCTTAGTAAACCAACTATTTCAAAGTTGCTGCCCTGGTTTTGCGTTGTTTTCTGAGTCAAAGTGCTAGTTATTACATATAAGAAATGAAGATAAAGGTTTTCCCTGTCCAACTCATCTCCGTTTCTTAGCTGAGGGAGCCAGTTTTGTCTGAAAGACATTTCCATGGTCACATTGCCAGCATGGCTACAGTATATGCCAAGTTGCATGGAATGCTTTATCTCTTCACCGAAGTGGTACCTATTTATCTACTTACATTTGTATGCTTTCAAACTGCTAGGTTGTTAGGAACTAAGACAAGAACAGGAGCTCATCTCCTCCTGCGGTACTTTTGGTCTCAAACTGCCTACCATCTGGTCGACAAGGCCAGCACCTTAATCTCTAGGCCACCACACCCCTTCAGGTATTACATATACATTTTATTATTTTAAATGCTTGTATTGTTTTAATTGTTTTTATAGTTTTGGAATTGGAACCATATATCATTATAGAAAACAACCCAATATATAAAAATACCAGCCCAAATAGGTTAATTAAGACAAGCAAAAGGGAATTTCACTCATTTGGACCCAAATTCTTTTGGAGGTGGGGGGAACTCTTCACAGTGAGGACTCACCATATATGGATGGGAGGGGGCATCATTTCAGAGTATAATATTGTGTTTGACTGGAAAATTAAAATGAATTATTGGAAATTGCAGATAGCAAGAAGATAGTGCAAATAAATGAATTTCTGCACATTGGTAGAGTGCTTACTCAATATGTAAACTGGATTGAGATATTTTAAGAAGTGCAAATGCTTGTAACAATATAGCCTATTGTCTGATATAAATAATGAGCTTTTATCAAAGTAATTGAAAATGCTGGGGCAGAAGAATACATTTCTACCCACTGATATATGGAAGAGAGTGCTCAGTGTCTCAGAAGAAATACGAATGAAGTGGGAATGAGAGACTACAAAGTGATACTGTAAAACAAGAGGTTGAGTCAAGAATGAATGTGAATTGAATGAGTAACTAGTGTGAAAGAAGCATGTGAAAGTGCTTGATCAAAAAAAGAATGAATGGGTTGAGAGGAATACAAAAGTGAAGGGATATTCAAAAAATGAATGGTGAAAAGTTCAAGAACAAAATAACGGCATGAAGGAGTGTATGGATGGAGTGGAAGAAGGGACAGTTTGCAAGGATTGAAAGGTGTGGGAGTTATAATAAATTATGTTGATGTAAACTAGATTTAGTTAGATTTTCTTTTCCCTTATTTCTGTAGTTTAATTGCTTTTGTCTATTGCTTCTCACGCTTCTTCTGCGCTTTGCATAACTTCGCTTATTCCAAAAGAG